GAGAAGCAGGCTTCCCGCCGAGCAGGGAGCCCGATGCGGGGCTCGATCCCAGGACCCTGGGATCATGACCTGAGCCGAAGGCAGACGCTTAATGCCTGAGCCATCCAGGTGCCCCGGGTAGTAAGGACATCTTAACAATGTTAATTATTTCAATGCATAAGCACAGGATCTTTCCACTTATTTGTGTTTCTTCAATTTCTTTCATCAGTGTCTTACAGTTTTCGGTGTAAAGATCTTTCATGTTCTTGGCTTAATTTATCCCAAAGTATTTTATTCTTTTTGATGCTGTTGTAAATGGGACTGTTTTCCTAATTTCTTTTTTTGGATAGTTTGTTGTTAGTGTATGGAAATACAACTGATTTTTGTATGTTGGTTTTATATCCTCCAACTTTACTAAGTTTGCTTATTAGTGCTGACAGTTTTTTGGTAGAGTCTATAGGGTTTTCTACATATAAGATCATGTCATATGCAGACAAAGATAGTTTTACTTCTTCCTTTCTGGTTTGGATGCCTTTTATTTCTTGCCTAATTGTTCTGGCTAGGACTTTCATTACTTTGTTGAATAGAAGTGTTTAGAGTGGGAACCTTTGTCTTGTTCCTTATACTAGAAGAAAAGTTTTCAACTCTTCACTACTGAGTATGATATTAGCTGTGGGCTTGTTATATATGGCCTTTATTATATTGAGATACATTCCTTTTATATTTGATTCCTTTTATATTTGATCATGAAAGGATGTTGAATTTTCTCAGATGCTTTTTCTGCTTCTTCTGTTAATGTGGTGTATCACATTTGTTGATTTGTGTATAGTTAAACCAGTCTTGCATTCCAGGGATAAATCCCACTTGATCATGTGTCTAATTCTTTCAATGTGCTGTTGAATTCAGTTGCTGATATTTTGTTGAGGATTTTTACAACAATGTTTATCATATAGGGGTATAGGCCTATAATTTTCTCTTCTTGTAGCATCCTTATCTGGCTTTGGTATGTGAGTAGTGCTGGCCTCTTAAAATGCTTTTGGAAGTTTTCCCTTCTCTTCAATATTTTGGAAGCATTTGAGAAGGAACATTGTTAATTCTATCTTAAATGCTCGATAGAATTCATCAGTGAAGCCATCTGGCCCTGGGATTGTTTTTGTTCAGAGATTTTTGATTACTGTTTTATTTTTCTTGTTACAGATCTGTTCAGATTTTTTATCTATTCACGATTTAATCTTGGTAGGTTGTATATTTATAGGAATTTATCCATTTCTTCTAGGTTATCTAATTTTTTTTTTAAAGATTTTATTTATTTATTTGACAGAGACACAGCGAGAGGGGGAACACAAGCAGGGGGAGTGGGAGAGGGAGAAGCAGGATTCCCGCTGAGCAGGGAGCCTGATGCGGGGCTCGATCCCAGGACTCTTGGATCATGACCTGAGCCGAAGGCAGACGCCTAACGACTGAGCCACCCAGGCGCCCCTAGGTTATCTAATTTTTGGCATATAATTGTTCACAGTGGTCTCTTATGATCCTTTGTATTTCTGTAGTATCACTTGTAATGTACTCTTTCATTTATAATTTGTTGACCCTTCCTTTTGCTTAGTTAGCAAAAGTTTATCAGTTTTATGTTTTAAAAAAACCCAACTCTTAGTTTTTTAACGATTTTTTTCTCTTGTTTTCTAGCCTTAATTTTATTTCTGCTCTCATCTTAGTTTCCATCCTTAAGCTAACTTTGAGATTGTTTGTTCTTTTTCTAGTTTCTTAAAATGGAAAGTTAGATTGTTTATCTGAGATCTTTGTTTTTTTCTCACTGTAGATTATCACTAAAACTTTTCTCCTAGAACTGCTTTTGCTGCATCTGATATTTTTGGTTTGTTGTATTTCCATTTTCATTTGTATCGAGATACTTTTTGAGTTCTCTTATTTCTTCTTTGATCCATTGATTGTTCAGTTGTGTTATTTATTTCCACAAATTTGTGAATGTTCAGTTTTCCTCATGTTATTGATTTCTAATTTCACACCATTGTTGTTGGAAAAGATACATTATATGATTTCAATCTTCTTAAATTTCTTAAGACATATTTTGTGGTCAACATATAATCTATCCTGGAGAATAACCCATGTGTACTTGAGAAGAATGTGTATTCTGCTGCTGTAGATATAAACCCAGATCATAACAATATTATATTAAATATGAATGGTCTAAACATCCCAATTAAAAAGCAGAGATTATCAGTCTGAAAAACATTAAAAAATGAACCTTTGATGTATGTTTCAACATGAACAAATTCCTGGGGCGCCTGGGTGGCTCAGTCGTTAAGCGTCTGCCTTCGGCTCAGGTCATGATCCCAGGGTCCTGGGATCCAGCCCCACATTGGGCTCCCTGCTCCGCGGGAAGCCTGCTTCTCCCTCTCCCACTCCCCCTGCTTGTGTTCCCTCTCTTGCTGTGACTCTTCTCTATCAAATAAATAAATAAAATCTTTTAAAAAAAAAAATGAACGAATTCCAAAATCATTATGCTAAATGAAAAAGACAAATGATTACATAGTGTGTAATAACATTTATAAGAAATCCTAGAAAAGGCAAAACAGAAAGCAGATCATTGGTTGACAAAGTCAGCAATGAAGGAGAGAGACTGAAAAGGAATAGAAAGGAGATTTAGGGGGTGCTGAAAATATTCTATATTAAGGTTATGGTGGTGGTTGCATGACAATACATTTGTCAAGATTTCTCTATGTATACATGGAAAATTTGTGAATTTTATTCTATATAAACTTTCTTAATAAAACTTTTGATTTAATCAAACAGCTAATTAATGAGTTGCATGGAGGAATTCAGGGAAATTAAGGATGAATAGGCATTTTTTTTTAAATTTTATTTTTTAAAGATTTTATTTGTCAGAGAGAGAGAGCACAATCGGGGTGGGGGTGTGGTGGAGGGAGAAGCAGGCTTCCCACTGAGCAGGGAGTCCGATGCAGGACTTGATCCCAGGACCCTGGGATCATGACCTGAGTTGAAGGCAGATGCTTAACTGACTGAACCACCCAGGCGTCCCTGAATAGACATGTTTTAAAGGAATTGAATAAAATTCAATACTGATATACTGAAAAACAAAATCTCTCTACCTTAATAAAATGTTCAGAATGTTAGAACTTAATATGATTTTTGAACTGAGCCTTAATTTATCTACTATATTTTTAATATTTCTTAAATTATTAGGTTGAACTAAAGCGACAATACAATGATCAGCACTCAAAATTGAGAGGTCTTTTACCTGGTCGTCAGTGGTATGATATTCAAGCATATAGGGCCTTAAACCAGGCCCTAGGTAGGTAAGTGAAATTTAATGTAATGTTACTGTAATATTATCTGTGGCCAGGGATATAGAAAAGATAGTCTTGCTACTTCTTAGGATAAATTTGATAGCATTTTCTTTTACTAGAATCTTAGGAACTGATATATTTTTAATGATAGATGTCACAAGTGAAAGCTGAAAAGAATAAATGAAACTCTAAAACCTCAAAATTTGCTAAAGTTTAAGAAGATTTATGATTGGGATGCCTGGGTGGCTCAGTTGGTTAAGCGACTGCCTTCGGCTCAGGTCATGATCCTGGAGTCCCAGGATCGAGTCCCGCATCGGGCTCCCTGCTCAGCAGGGAGTCTGCTTCTCCCTCTGACCCTCCCCCCGCTCATGTGCTCTCTTTCTCTCATTCTCTCTCTCTCTCTCTCAAATAAATAAATAAAATCTTTAAAAAAAAAAAAAGATTTATGATTGATCAAACAATGAATGTCACACAGAAGAGGTACTCAGTAAATGTTTAGAGAAGTTCACCACCAAACAGTAAAAATTTTATCTTGTGAATATCAGAACCTAGATGATGATTTTATGGGTATAAAGCAAACCATTCAAGAAGAGTTAAAAGAAACCATGCTTTTGGGGGCACCTGGGTAGCTCAGTTCGTTGAACATCTGACTCTTGGTATCAGCTCAGGTCATGAGCTCAGGGTTGTGAGATCAAGCCCCACTTCAGGCTTCAGGCTCAGCCGGGAGTCAGTTTGAGATTCTCTCTCACCCTTGTCCGTCCCCCTGTGTGCACTCTCTCTCTCTCAAATAAATAAATCTTTGAAAAAATAAAATTAAAAAAAATTTTTTTAAAGCTAAAGAATTAATGCCAACAAACAATAACATTTAATTATAATACTTCTTTTCCTAAGGATTCTCGTCCATTAAGATTTGTGCTTTGTGGAGCTAGTTATTAAGTCACCATTTTATAACATAATTTTCATGTTGTAGAACATAGCATTTAATTTATAAACACTTTAATCCTTAGACTTTTAATAACCTAATATTTTATATTCTCTATTCATGAAATTGTAACTAGTTAAAACCATGTGATAATTTTTTCTTGTGGAAGCTGTAAGGCACTCATATAATCAAAATAACACAGGTTAAGAATAAAATCATGAAAACATGACCATTTGACATATTTTCTGTTCAGCCAAAAGACCCACACCCAAAAGATTACACCTAACTGTAATATGACCTAACCAAATCCAGAATTTAAATTTTTCTCATCTTGTTCACTCACATTAGCCTATTTACACATAAGCTTTTAGATTGCATTTGAGTTCAGATTTACAGATAGCTAATGACAGGACTACAACAGCTGGACTTAAGTCCCAGAACACATCACCCACTCCCTACCCCATCATTTAAAAATTATATTCTGCAGGTGTTTCCCTTCAAATTGAATGATTCGGTTCTATGGTTAATCTACTGATATGGTTAAGCTGCTGCCCTTCTCTGCCTAGAAATTTCATTGGTACTTGGCATCATGTTGCACTATAAATTGTTCTTGAAGCATTTCATCTGCTTACTTGGTGTCTCCCTGTTGTTGACCTGTTTTGTGTTCTTGTATTTGTATTTTAATATTCAGCAAATAGTTTCTAGGGGAGCCTGAATATTATTTAAAATTCTTGACTTTTAGTCACTATACTTAATTTCAGGACAGTAAATATTCTGACCTCAGTTACTATTTTTTCCTTTTAATATAGGCAGTGTATTGAATTTTAAGAAATCGTTTGAAGCAAAAATATATTTATATCCTACTTTGTCATTTATAAACATTTTCTACAAATATTAAACAGGTTGTAAGAGATGAAATTACTTGTCTAGTATCACATAATTACTAAATGGGCCTTCATATCTTGGCCCCACCTACTTTTAAAACCTCAGGACCTGCTTTTTCATCCTTAGACCCTACCTTTATCCTCTAAAGCTCTCACTGTTAAACATAAAACATCTTATTATTAAACATACCATATCCTTTCACTACTCTCTGCTTTGGCATAACAAGCTATCGGACAATTCATTTGGCAAGTTTACCAATCAAAACCTAGTTGAAGGTCATGTCCTTCATGAAGATTTCTTTTTACTTTTCCAACTAGTTATTTACACCTTAGGAAATCCATAGTAGTTTATACATTATCTCTATTACACATATATCTCATTGTATTGTAATAACCTGTTTATATATCTGTCTCCTTCCCTAAACATGTATTTTACATTCTCAGCAAACAACTCTGCCTCAGCTTGGGGCATAGATGCTCAATAAATACTTGTTGAATTCATGAAAAATGGTGGGTTTGGTCCTTTCTCCACTATACCATGTTGGCCAGAGAACGTCTGGAGCTTCAAGACATACTTTTCTAGAATTTCATAAAAAGACATGTGTTTGTAACATTGATATATAATACTATAGTTTTCATATTTTATTATTAATTAAAAAATTGATAGCCCAACTGTCATTGTATTGATTTTCAGGGAAACAGTATCAACAAGTAGCAACTTTTTATTACAAAGAAATACTCATTTAAAAATCAAGTGAATGTTTTACATCACTTGATAAAACTCATAATGTGTATTGATTGACATAAAGGTACTTATAACCAGGTACTCTTCTTATAAGGGATAAGTCGAGAAGGTCTAAAGTAAGCAGAAACAAATGGAGTTTAAAAAAAAAAATCTTTTTTTTTAAGCCCACATGGGACTGTTAGAGTATTTGAAGTAATATAAGTCCATGAAATGTAATAACAGCCTTCAGGAATGTACCAGATGGTTTTGTGACCAGGTTACAACTGCACTATGAGTTTCCTAACGGGTCTGCTTTACTGAAAGTATAATCTTTGTCTCAAGTGGGCATAATTCATTTGAACAAGGCAGAATGAAAACAATGGAAAAAAGAAAAGGTGAAATTCTTTTCTCTGAACTGTTTTGGTAAATTAAATGCCTTTCTACCTTAGAACACTTTAAAATAAACCAAAATGGAATAAAAAATAGAGTGACACCCCAACTTTCCATTAATTTTCAACACTGGTCTATAATATTGGCAATATCCATCTTCCTGTCCTGCCTAATTTTGTGGTCTGATGCCTCAGAACCTAGAATTACTTTAAAATAATATTTTTAAAAAGTCATATAAAATTTAGATTGTTTTAAATCTCTGGAAAAATCAAACATTTATATTAATCTTCACCCCTCTCAAAATTCCACAAAACTAAAGGAATAAAAATGATAAAAATGCCAAAACTACAAAGTTAAAAAGAGTGGGAGAGGGAATGCTACCAGATGAGATGTCAGCAAATTTTGATCACTGAAGAACAGATGAATGATTGAGTGACTTAGCAGGCAAAAGAAAGCTGTTGTGAAAGTCAACAAGATTCTTCAGATTCAGGCACGGAAAAACTTGGGATGTGGGGGCACTCTAAAGTATCATTTAAAGTAGGATTAATCACAAAATAATTGATTGCAAGTTACTGTAAGTAGACAGCCCCCCTCCCTACTCAAATTTACTCTCTGGAGAGATTGTATTAGAGAGTTTATATGTTCTTCAACTCCAGGTATAGCTAAGGATGTATTAAAGATGGGGGTTAAGAAAAGTCTGTTTATGGAATGTGAGAACTCTGTCCCCCTTTTCTTCTCAGCTCTGCATAGGCTTATAATCAATCTTATATCTCCAAGGCAGGAAAGTACAGTATTCCTATCTAGAGATACTAATTACCTCATGAGTAAAGACCTACAGATAGTAGCAAAGTGGTCCTGTGCCTCCCAAAGTACCTTACTCTGGCACAGCTTACCACTATGTAAGCCATACCCCATGTTGGCAGAGCTACCAATCAACGTTTTCATACTTCACTCTTATGTAAGTGCAAAGAGTCATCACCAGATAATCAAAAAAAGTCTGTAATATGAAAAATACCAAAACAATATCAAGACTATACCAACAAAACAAAAACAGGGTGGAAGAACTTGTAGACAACAGAAACAGTGCATTAGAACAGAGGTTGGCTGTTCTTTTTGGTCAAGTCTCTGTACAATAGAACAGAGGTTGGTCAAACTCTTTCTGTAAAGAAGTGGACAATACATATTTTAGGTTTTTTGGGCCATGTCCAGTTCTGCACCCATATTCTTTATTTTTCTTTTGACCTCTGAAAATGTGAATATCATTCCTGCCTTGCAGGCTGTACAAAAACAAAATATGGACCAGATTTCCTGTGTGGGCTTAGTTAGCCAACCCCTTATCCATAGAGGGTAAAATACTTCCTCCATGAAATAAGAACAGATTTATTTTAAGAAAAGTTTCCGGGCATTAACATGATAGCAAACTTTAAATGCAGAATTAGGCTCAGAAGATAAAATGGAAATTTCCTAGGTCAAAATAACAAAGAAAATTTAAAGATCAGTATGCAAGAGGCAATTTCTGATAAAAAGGAGATCTGTAGGAAGAGACCAGAGAAAATACAGAAGAAGAAAATAATAGAAGAAAGAAAATATGGAAGAACTTAAACCTATCAAAGAAATAATTCAAGAAAAATGCTCAGAATTGAAGGGCATAATTTCCTGATTAAGGGGGCCCACCCAAGCACCAGTAAAGGGAGAAAAGCTACAAAGTACCTCACTGTGCAGTTTCAAAGTACCTGAGATAAAGAAAAAGTCCTAGAACGTTCCAGAGAGAAGAAAACAGGTCTCATACAAAAGACATGAAATCACAATTGAGAGACTCCTTAAAAATCAACATTAGAAGATAGAAGACAGTTTTAAATTATCTTCAAATTTTTGAGGGAAATTTTGACTTGCAATTGAAGTTTATACAACTCAAACGATCAATAAGCTATAAGATAGAATAAAGCCTTCAATATGCAAAGGACCTAAAACATTAGGGACACCTGGGTGGCTCAGTCGGTTAAGCATTTGCCTTCGGCTCAGGTCATGATCGCAGGGTCCTGTAATCGAGTCCTGTATCAGGCTCCTTGCTCAGCAGGGAACCTG